GAGTAAGGAATACTTTAGACTACTACTATTACTACGAACGGATGGAGAGACACCATCTGCAGGACCTAGGACCCGCTGAATGGTTCAGTATCGAGGCCAAGCCTGCGAAGGATAACAATGCCGGAGACGGCAGGGGAGAAGCCGAAGGCGTACTGATCGGAGGGTCGGGCCGTCGAGAATTCATCGCGCCACGTACCGATGGTAACGAAGGCGATACAGAAGAGGAGAACGAGGTCAGGCGTACCACTTCGATCATAAGAAGCCGCCCGGAAACGGACGAAGAAGATGATCTGTATGCCGATCCAGACCCTGACATCAGGACCCAGAACAATGGTGCCGCTCCACCACGTGCAACAACTTCTCCGGCACAAGCAAGGCCGATCTCAGGACGAGCAGCGACGGCTCCCCCGACAGTGTCCCACCAAGGACCACCACATTTGAGTAGTAGAGGGTCAGGAAGTGGCCCCAGTAGCAATAACAGCTCCCGGACGGGAGGAGGTAGTCAACGCCCACATAGGCATGGAAACGGGCGTGGGAACCCGCCCGGAGGAGGCGGCGATCCTGGATCAGGAAGTGATGGAAGCGATACCGAATCGGGAAATGATCCGCGCGGCCGGATACCGAGATCACAACGAGAAGACGAGCGAGCACTGCGAGAAGGCTCGTACATACCGTTCAGCAATGAGTTTACAGGAATCAGCCTACGGACTGTGTATCATAATAGAATTAAATACATGATCGAAGTATACGTAGGTAACTACGTCGAACCAGACCCGAATACGAAGAGTCAGAAACCTCCAAGCCCAGACACCTGGAATGGACAGAATGATGCTGACAAATTCATGGACTGGCTTGAATCACTTCTCGAGTACTTCGTGCTTACCGGACTTTCGGGACCTCGCCGAGATCATTTACGGAAATTACACACGCCCGCTCGCCTAGGCGAAAAGGCACGCCATTGGTGGCGTCTCAAGGTATCGCGCACTAACCCAGGAATACCAATGCTCGATTTCACTCAAGCAATTCTTGAGATGTTCAACCGCTTTGTAATAGATATCACGCCTGAAAAGGCAATAAGGAAATATAAAGAAGTGACTTTTGACCCTGAAGCAGGGGTACAAAGTTTCTATGATGAATTAATTGAAGCCTCGTTCCTTTCGGAAACAAACCTAAAATCAAATTGAATAGCCGCCGCCCACAGGCCAAAACAATGAGCCGTTCACACGAATCCAATACGCGAATGCCGAACATTTCTGAAAATAATGTACCTACCGTATTAACAATGGCAAGTGCCATTATAGACGAAGAAATCAAGGACATCAAATTTCCGGAAGAATTTGAGAATGCTTACAACGAACACAAGGCCTTGGAAGAGGCCCAGGCAAAAACCCCTTGGGGAAGGCGGATACCGTTCCCCGGACCGCCCAGAACACCTACATCACGCGCCCAAGAAGCGCTAAGCGAAGAAGACATCCCACGCCTGCGGGAGCAATGGCGGGAGCGAATTGCGGACATCACGGGTGATATCCCGCTGGAAAGACCGCCGTATAGAGAAGTAAATCACAGAATTAATATTATTGACCCCCGTAAGAGATACAGGGGCCATAGGCCACGATGCCCGGAGGCATATCAAAAAATATTGCAAGATAAAATAGAAAAGTACACTAAGGCAGGCTGGTGGGAATGGAAGCCAGTCGACAATGCGTTACCAATGCTATGCATCCCGAAGAAGGATGGGAAACTTCGGACCGTATTCGACTTACGAGAACGGAACGAAAACACGGTGCACGACGTAACGCCGATGCCGGACCAGGACCGAATCCGGAATGATGTCGCACGCGCGCGTTACCGAACGAAGCTCGATATGAGCGACGCGTACGAGCAGATCCGAATCGAGAAAGGTGACGTACACAAGACCGCCTTCTCGACCATTCTGGGCACGATGGTGTCCCACGTTATGCAGCAGGGCGACTGTAATGCGCCTTCTACATTCCAGCGCCTAATGACGCATCTATTTAGAGAACATATAGGTATATTCGTACATGTATATCTTGACGATATATTTATATTCTCTAATACAATTGAGGAGCACGAACAGCATCTCGAATTAGTATTCAACATACTGCGCAAAGCGCATCTGTACCTATCGAAAAAGAAGGTCGACCTCTATTCGGAGAAAATGGAGTGCCTAGGCCATCTGATCGATGGCCAAGGAATTCACGCGGAAACGGACAAATTAGAACAAATCCGTGAATGGCGGACGCCTCGGAAATTGAGAAATTCTGCGCCACATGTCATATGTGTCAAACGACCAAAGACGTCAATCGGAAGCCCGAAGGACTTCTGCACAGCCTACCGGTGCCTGGGCGCCCATGGAGCTCAATTGCAATGGACTTTCTAGGACCATTCCCGAAGTCCAGAGGATTCGACTACTTATGGGTAGTTATATGTAGGCTAACAAGTATGGTACACTTAATACCGTGTACTACGAAATCTACAGCATCGGAATTAGTGTATATGTTCGTTCGAGACATTGTCAGATTACACGGACTACCGGATACCATTGTATCGGACCGTGACTCAAAATTCAATTCGAAATTCTGGCGGGAAACGCACCGGATACTCGGAACGAAACTGCTTATGTCAACTGCGTTTCATCCTCAGACAGATGGCGCCACAGAGCGGGCCAATCGGACCGTCGCACAGATCATGAGAACGCTAATCCGGCCCGATCAAACCGACTGGGTGGACGCGCTGCCACTCACTGAATTTGCCATGAACGCGGCGCGCTCGGAGACGACCGGATTCTCTGCGTTCGAACTAACCTACGGGTACGTACCGAGAATGCTGAACGAGTTCGGGATGGAGTATACATCCCCGGGCGTAAGAGAATTTGCATTGCATGCGAAACACTGTCTGGAACAGGCGCATGACGCCATTATCGCCGCACGCGTGCGCCAAGCACACCACGCGAATCGTAGAAGGCGAGACCACCAAGCCTATCGGCCCGGCGATCTGGTGTACGTCAGTACCGCAAATCTAAACTTACCCATCAAACGTGCACGTAAGCTAGCGCCCCGGTTCATTGGACCGTTCAAGATTATTGAAGCAAACAATGACGCAAGTGTTTGTCTGATTGATCTGCCATCAGATCTCAAGGCACGGCGCGTGCACCCACGATTTCACGTCACTAAGCTTCGGCCATACATGCCGAATGACGATGCGCTATTCCCTGGGAGGGATCCCGCTAACTTTTACGACTTCGGCCAGGCCGAGGACTTAGAGTACGAAGTAGAAGAAATTGTAACTCACGAATGGCACAGGGATAGTGTACTATTCCTTGTGCGATGGTCTCTGGGCGATAGCTCTTGGGAGCCGTGGGAAAATGTGAAGGACCTTGCGGCGATCACCCGTTACTTCGAAATCGAAGGAGTGACACGCATGGAAGACTTGCCAAGATCTCGGCCGCCGATCCGAGGCCTGCCCGCACCTGAAGGTGCGATAGTCACCCCGTACAGCGAGCGTCCTGTTGGACGCAATGGAAAAATATTCTGGACGGTCGGTCCTTCAGGTATAAAAGTACGATACCATGCCCCTCAAACGCAACAACGAAGCCCTACTGGTACATAGTCGTACTTTAGTCGCACTACTTACTATGCCGCCTGCCAAGCCGTATGTAGTCGGACCGATGCGCGGAGCGCCGTACCCAGCGCCCGCCATCAATATCCCCAACCTGATGAAACAGGTTGAGAACCTTACCCAGCGCGTAGAAGCGCTGGAAGCCACTCTCGGTTACCCGAGTTACCAAGTAAGTACTCGATTTCGTACTCCGAAATGGGCGCGTTCTCACGAATGCGCCTAAGCAATCTGGGCCCGGGACCCAGTGGGTCCAGGATGTTGATGGGTACCCGGCCGCTCTGCCGGCTCCCATGGGAATGTCCTCCGCCTGGGGGGGGGAGGGTCCGGATGGGCCGGAACGAGAAGACGGTCGCGTAGTGGTCCGCCCATTCGCGCACGTAGGTGATCCTCGCCGACACCTCACCCGCGAAGAAATCGCAAAGATAATGCGGGACCATGTGGTGCCGCCTACCGACATCGCATTCTACGAACGACTGATTAAGGAATCGCGTCGCGAGAAACAGTGGTTCGCTGTGTTCCTCGCGAAGCATTACCTTGATCTGATCAAGGAGTTGGGGGCCGACGCCTCCGAAACGCAGAAACAATTCGTTTCTGGATGGA